AATACAACAAAATCTGTTAAACATTACAGTTTGCAATTAGTTTTCCTGCCGGGCGTCGTAGAACTGCCCCTCGAGTACAAAGGGTTAAATAATGGTTTCAAGGAAATAAATTGTAAATAATAAATAATATACAACATATTATATTATAAGATTATAAAAGATGAATAAATAATATATTAAATTACAGAATTTTGTTAATTTGAATATTGTTTTAGGCTCGTGAACGACTTGTCGAAGATCGCGCAGGGGAGACATGCACTAGAATTGGGCGCCTCACCAAATCAAGAGAAATCGATGAGGATCAGAGGCCTCGAGTGTCTAGTCTCGATCTTGAAATGCATGGTGGAATGGAGCAGAGATCTATACGTGAATCCGAGCGTTCCTGCCGATCAGCAGATCCCATCAGAGCCTCCCGATCCTCCGGTGGAACCACCGTTGCCTCGTTATGGCAGTGCCGGAAGTTTGTCCTCTGCTAATTCTAGTCTAATTGGCAATAAAGAGATCCCGGATTCCCCGGAGCAGTACGAAGTCCAGAAACATCAGAAGGAGGTCTGGGAAACTGGAATCGACATGTACGAATTAAAGGAATCTATTGATTTTTAATCTCGCCTCTTGAATTCCTAGCGACAATTCAAGGTTGTGTGAGCCTTTGAATGAAAACGAACCATCCAAATTCTTCTTCTACTATTAATTCGAATCACTGTAATAATGTAGAATGAAAAGTAAGAATTGTAGGCCTTTAGGANTAATAAATGTTCCTTATATTTTCTAAGATATCTTAATTGCATTATATTAATATAAATTTGCCTGATATTTGCCACAATTAAGAGGCGAGGCAAGGTACATAGGCTGTTAAATGATTTAATATTCTCCATTTTTAGTTTTAATCGAAAGCCGAGCAAGGGAGTGCAATATCTTCAAGAGCAGAGCCTGTTAGGTAATTCATCGGAAGACGTAGCCCGTTGGCTTCACATGGACGAACGGTTGGATAAGACCGCGATCGGCGATTTCCTCGGCGATCACAATCACAACCAGGTGATGTACAGCTACATTGACCAAATGAACTTCGCCGAGCGCGATTTAGTCACAGCCCTGAGATACTTCCTCGAGGGCTTCCGGCTGCCCGGCGAGGCGCAGAAGATCGACCGGCTGATGGAGAAGTTCGCCAGTCGATACTGCGAGTGCAATCCGAAGTAATTAAATCATGTCATCAGTCGATGCAAAAATCCTTGTCTAATTTCAAATTATACAAACGTATACATATAGAATTTATATAGATTTTGTACATATGTACATTTTATAGTCTAATTTTTTAAGCCTGTTTTCTATATATTTATTAGTGTATGTATATTCAAGCTTTTGCATTGATCTAATATTTTTGTTATGTGAAATTATTTGCAATAATTAATAATCTGTTAATTATTGAACAGTAACGGGTTGTTCACAAGTGCGGACACGGCATACGTTTTGGGCTTCTCGATTATTATGCTGACAACCGACCTCCACTCGCCTCAAGTGAAGAACAAAATGACTAAGGAGC